TGTACTGTTTTATTTGAGGCTGGAAGCAGTGACTGTGAAAACAAAAGTTGGGTTGTGCAAAATCCTCACCTATCGCTCCTAAAGTCACTGAAATAAGACGTCCCTGCTTATCTCCGTGTGGGCATGTGAAAGGGTTTCTCTCTGAGGGAAACTGTTATTGAGAGGGCTGCAGCACACAGAGCCGTTACTAACACAGGCACAGTCAGCCCAGTGTCATCGCATAAATCTGGAGTCATAGCCACAGGTGGCCTATAGATCCTACAGTCACAGCACGGTGTCAGGCAGAAACAGCGGATGTGCACACCACATGCCTAGCCTCCAAAGAGGGCATCAATCACCTGCAGTGTCTGGGTTGCCAGCACCACCTCCACCTACTGTAGCCCAAGAGACCACTATGCCACCTACACCAAAGAACCCAGGGAGTGTTGATGAACATTTTTGAAGTGGACAAACCCTGGTACAACATGTTCATGTCAGTTGATAAGGTCATTTGGGCTCAAAAACACTTTGTTCTCATTGACTTACATTGCCCCCCCTAGTGGCTGAAATATGTTACAGCATTACTACGTCTAAAGCTGTCCCAATACAAATATTTCGTATGTCAATATTTTAAGAGATGTAATATAATGATTGTGACAATACAAATCTGAATAATATCATTTTTTCTTTGAAATAATTTCATTTTTGAGTCATTGAGTTGTGACGTGTGTGTGACGTATGAGGTTAAGGACACAAGTTCCCTCGCTTTTTTTTGCATACAAGGGATTCAGCTATTGTATTACAATAATTAGCAGTAATGGATGCGGCGATTTTAAAAACGTTTAAGGCGTCTACTTCTGCGCTAAGTAGGACACTGGTTCATAATATTGTAGCGTGTTCAAGTAACCAAGGGATATAGTAGTTATCAAATAAGTATAAGATATGCACAGTTATGATGATAGTTTTACAGATGTAATGCACTGTTGTTGGGGGGAGAGACCGCCCCTTCCATATGAGTGTGTGTGTGTGTATGGCGGCATGAGGCGTGCATGACGGGACAAGATGTGTTCGTATGTGGAAAAGTCATACTCTCAGTGCGGTGAACGCTGGCTTTATTGCTACTGTATCCGTAGCACTCCACGCAATAGTTGGGACTGTGTACTACTGACGTCAGTAAAAAAGGTTTTCCCCCCCAAGCGCAAATGTCAAACTCCGCCTATGGGCTACTGACTGACTCACTGCTGCTGTTTTCTTCTGAGTCCAAGAAAGGAACGCTGTCGGGGATAATTAAGCTCCATGATTTGTTTTGAAGCCGGCATTCAGGATGCTGCGCTCAGGTGGTGTGGATATGGAATACACTTTGTTCCTGCTGAGTTTGCATGTCACCATGTGGGGCTCGTACTTACAGTTCAGAAAGATCCCACACTTTGGATTTCCTCTGAGTGAAGTCTGAGGGGTTTTCCAGCTGACGGGTCAAAGCTAATGCAGCGCACACATGGAGTTTTTTTTTTCTTCGACTAATAGACTAATGAAAAATGTATCGACAAATGCTTTTTTCGCCAAATAACGTTTAATCGACTAATCTCGGGGCAGCCCTACAAAAAATTCAGACATATCTCTATTTGTATACTCTTTATGCCTTTATTTAAATCTTGAGGGTCTATAATGCACAAAAAAGCCTATGGAGAGTTAGTTAGTTTCCTTCTTAGTTAGTTAGTTAGTTAGTTAGTTTCTGACCTCCTGCTAAATTATGAACCATCCAGATCTCTCAGGTCTTCAGGGACTGGTCAGCTTTCTGTCCCCAGAGTCAGAACTAAACATGGTAAAGCAGCGTTCAGTTAATATGCTCCAAATATCTGGAACAAACTCCCAGAAACCTGCAGGTCCGCTGCAACTCTGACTACTTTTAAATCCAGGCTGAAGACTTTTCTTTTTGTCGCTGCTTTTAATTGAACTGCACTGTAACTTTTATCCATGTATTTTTTCTTTTAATGTTTATTTTATTAGCTTTTCTTTTTAATGACTAATTTTAAATGCCTTAATGTCTTTCATTTTTTGTAAAGCACTTTGAATTGCCTTGTGTTGAAAAGTGCTATATAAATAAACTTGCCTTGCCTTAAAGGTGGGGTAGGTAAGTTTGAGAAACCAGCTCGAGATACACTTTTTGTTATATTCCATGGAATGCTCTTAACATCCGATAGCAATGAATATCTGAAGTGCTTTGACAAAAAATCCATAAAAAATGTAATCTGTGGAAGCCGTAATACTGTAAAAAGTACAACCAATCAAGGCCAATCAATCAAGGCGGGCACGAGATCCATTTGTGCCAATCAATCAAGGAGGGCACGATCCAATCCGTTTAGCCGGGCCGGCTAAACGGATTGGATTGCCGCCTTGTCTCTCAGCCTTCCATCTCGTGCACGCACAAATGGATCTCGTGCCCTCCTTGGGCGTGCATTGCAGCAGTACTTCAATGACTCGCCAGCAACAGGCGGCCACTTTCACCAGTCTGCTGACGTCATGTGCGCGTTCATGTGTGTTGGAGGAGGTGCTCTGTAAGGAAGTCTGAAGGAAGGGGCGGATTCTTTTCGGCTGTGTACTTTCAAATTTTAGTGCCCTCGAGCCGGTTTCTGAAACGTACCTACCCCACCTTTAAATCATTTGACTTAGCAGAGACCAAACAAGGTGCTGCTGTGATAGAGGAAATTGGAGGCGGGGCTTAAGGAAAACGTAAGATCACATGCACTACGGGCCCTATGCATGCAGAATATTGCCAAAAGATCCTAGGAGGAATTTTGTTCTCAAGAGTCAGGCCATTTTGGCTTCATCTGCCACTTAGAAACTTTAATGGGAATGAACAGGACCCCGCCTCTACACTTATCCACTTCTCTTTACACATCCATGCCTACAGCACAGCAGCAGGGACAATAACTCTTTCTGCCTCCATTGTACTACCATCAACACCCATGTTTGTCTTAGCCCTCCAAGGCAGTGCAAACCCATCCAGCTAGATTTTCAGTGGTTTCTAAACAATGTTGAACCCTGTGCTAAAGAGACTTAAAGAAAGGATTGGCAGAAGCAGAAAACATTCAGTTGTTCGAGCTGTATGGCTGGCAGCTATGAAATCTATTTTCTGCAGAGTACAGAGACTGAGCCTGATGGGCCAAAATTAAAAGAGCATGGAGTGTGAAGATTTTCCACACACATTTAGAAAAATGCATTGTCAATAAATCAATGTGGACAGAGCGAAACAAAAGGGGGGTTAATCATGTTTTCCTCCAATGTAGAGTCTGTGTTACACATCTAGGAACACATCATGTTATCTTATTGAGTGTGTGTGAAAGTTGTTCTGTTTTCTTGGATGGGACCTCTTTTCCAAACACTAGACTAGAATTCTTACTCAGTGGAACATGAACCCTATTTGCACTTTAATCTAGACGTTATTGAGCTTGTACAGTTCAAAAAGAAATGGACATGGTCAAGTTGGAATTGGATTAGTGAATGATGGTGTTTTGCTGTCAGGAAAAGGAAAAGGCCTAAATGAGAATTTCAAGTCCAATGAAGTGTTACACATAGTTTCACAATCAATAGATATTGATAGGTGCTCCACAATCCAGTCCTTTAGCAACTCGGTACAGTACTTAAAGGCATGAGTGCAGGAGTGAGTCTTGCACACTGGATTCAGTTCCTCTGTTTACTGCTCAACCAATCACCTTAATGCTCAACTATAAACAACTAATAGAGAAACAAACCAAAACATGGAGCATTGCATTTCTTTACTGGATATCTAGTTATGACAAAGGAATTGTCTGCAGGTTATTGGTGCATGACTCTCCCCAAGCCAGAGTCACAGCATTCAAACAGCTGCTAACAAAGTGGTAACCATGGCTATGTGCCAGGATGGGATATAAACTGAAGGTAATATATGCTCATTATCACAGATTATTTATAGTGCATGCATTATCAACCACTTACACTAGCAATTGAATATAACATTATACTACTTTACAAAGAGTAAGGAAAAGGTTACTATTGATTCTGTGATTTGCATGTCCTTTTTATAGAATCATAAAAATACCTTATTTCTCCTTTGTGTAATATAGGGCTGTCCTCCACTACAGAAATTCATAGTTGACAAAAATGAGCGAGGTTTTTTAGAATACATTTTTTTTTTTTTTAAAACGACAGATCAGTAAAACTGAGCTTGTCCACAAAGAATCATGCGAAAAAACCATGTTAAATGTTGTGTTAACCAGAAATGTGCTTATGTTTCTTGGAAAATGTTGTGTGTGTGTGTGTGTGTGTGTGTGTGTGTGTGTGTGTGTGTGTGTGTGTGTGTGTGTGTGTGTGTGTGTGTGTGTGTGTGTGTGTGTGTGTGTGTGTGTGTGTGTGTGTGTGTGTGTGTGTGTGTGTGTGTGTGTGTGTGTGTGTGTGTGTGTGTGTGTGTGTGTGTGTGTGTGTTGGGAAGTAGTGGAGTACAAATACTTCGTTACTGTACTGAAGTAAATTTTTCTGGCATCAGTAGCCTACTTTGCTCCACTACTTATTTGTACGTGTTGAACACAAATACCTGTACTTTCTACTTCTTACATTTTCAAAACAGGTTTGTTACTTTAGTTTTAATCTGCGTTTGGTGGCGTGATCATTATTCTTTAGAGTCATTGCGTGCCTATTGATTTGAACACGATCCGTGTATCCATCATTTCCTGGTCTTCTCTAAAGAAGAGGGACCAATGAAAACGTTGTCATGTTGCCGTTGTTTAGCATGGAAACATTAATTAGCTAACAATGACATTATTGTTCTATTAATATAAAGGGAGGTCAGGTACTCTTTAAAACAGCTGGGAGTTATGGGTACTTTTTACTGAAGTACATTTCAAAGCCCATACTTCTTTACTTTGACTTGAGTAAAGAAGTTTAGTCAGTACTTCTACTTTACCACAGTATTTTTAAACATGAGTATCTATACTTCTACTTGAGTAAAGGATATGTGTGCTTTTGCCATCTCTGGTGTGTCTCACCTGTATGAGGCGGCCCTGCTCTGTCTGCAGTGTGTTCAGGTCTTGCCCCAGGCTGCCCTGCCCCCTACGCAGGGACTCGTAGTCCATTTTCAGCTGCCCCGCGTGGGCTGACAGCTTGGCCACCTCCTCAGCCAGACTGACGAGAAGAGCCCGGTCCTGGCCTTTCACTGACTTCAGGTCAGAGTCGTGGTCGGATAGCGAGTGCAGCAGTGACGTCTGCACACCCTCCAGGCGCAAAAAGTTACTGTTGTAGTCGGGACAGTTGGGGTCGATGAATATGTTGATGCGAGAGCCGTCGCCTCGCTCGACCGTGACCAGCGCGTTGGCTTCATCCTGATTGGTGGAGATGTGTGGCAGGCCATCGGACATGGGCGGGGCCTGGTAGTGATTCATAAAAAGTATGGTGCCAGTTACAGTGACAGCCAGCAGCACAGCCACGAACAGCAGTATGGTGCAGAGCAGGTAGCTGCAGCTCATCCTCTGTGAGAGAAAATAAGAAGGGAGGAGGAGAACAAAAGTGTGTGTTAGATCCACGGTTGTTAAAACACCAAGAGTCACGGCAACAACCTGTCTTAGTCAAAAAGTTATGTCTTTCATTCATCATTGGGGATATTTTGAATGCCAGATGCTCAGTACGCAGCAATATAAACATAATGCCATCTGTCAGAATGGAGTTTGAATGATTTATGTAGCAGCATAAGCTAGATTTATTCAAATGCCATTCCTTTTTAAAACTCCCTGTATGCCATTAGAGTATTGGAAGTGCAGCAGAGGGAAGATGATGGCCTGGGAAACCTCTGGTCAAGGCACACATGTTTCCATTTTTCCATTTCAGGGGCAGACAGAACAATAAAAACCTGGAACAACAGTAGCCAGGAAGAGAAAGTAAAACTGAAGACTCTCAGACAGCCTATATAATTTAAATGAATGAGCAGAGAGTGGATCCTCTTAGAGGAAAGAGGCAGACCTCTACCAGTAACATGGTCTCCATTAACTGGACTATAAAGGCCTGTAGGATGGCCCTTTATGATCCGGATCCATTTTCCCCACTCAGGTCAAGAAAACTAGCAATGGATATAATATGGCCCAACTATGCATGATTAACAAAGCCTGGCTCCCTATATCTTCCTCTGAATGAAACTGCACTGTAGAATGATCTGTTTGTGAGAATATGTGGGCAGGTGTGTGTGTGTGTGTGCGTGTGTGTGTGTGTGTGTGTGTGTGTGTGCGCGCGTGTGCGTGCGTGCGTGCGTGTGTGTGTGTGTGTGTTGCCTGTTTGCATATGGAAGTGCAAGTCTGTGCAAGCTCATTAATATGTAAATTGGCTGTACACTGAAGCACACTAATAGACAGCTAATGGTCTGCTTTACAGGAGATGTTTATGGTTTCTTTATTGTGAGGAAAATCAATCGTGTTCTCCGGGAAACTCTCCTATCATCAGTGTTTACCCACAATAAAAAAAGTTGTAACTCCCCTGACAACTTGACCGTGAAGGAGCAGAAATGCGGGCTCTGTGGACAATAAGCCTGCATGGCATACACTCAATGTAAACCATGAGTTTCACTGATTGTTAGCACAAAAAAGGGTTCTTTCAGAGGTCTCTAATGGGCACAATTTCAAACCCTCTGGCTTCATTCACAACTCACATGGGCAGACACATATGGAGCCTGGAGCCAGAGAGCACATTTTAAAAGGCCTGATGAGTCCCTGCTGGAATCCTATGCCCTTACGCTCTACCAAAAAAGAAGACATTAGCGGTGATTTAAAAAAACGAACCCACAAAACAAACAAGCAAACAAGGACTTTGATTTAAAGACATTTAATTAATTGGATTAAAAAGATTCAGACTAGATCTGCAGCAATTAGTTGATCGACAAAAAAACGATCGCCAACTCATTTTATTATACATTCAATGTAATTGTTTGTGCAAAAACGGCATAGAACTCTCCGTTTTCAGTTTCAATTATGTAGGATGTTGAAAGTGAATTGATTAAATGAACGCATTATGTTTTTTCTGCAAGGGCACACAGTAAAGTGGCGGCTGTTTTTTGGACACCGCTGGCATCTATGAAAGCACTGTCCCTGCAAACTGCCCCCAGGCTCTGTTTGTCCAAATGGGTTGCAAACTGCATACACAATCACACAATCACACAATCACACAGACACACACAAACACACACACATTACTCGCTACAGCCCTTTATCTGCCAAATACTTGCAACAGACATGCAAGCACATGCACATGAAATACATTGGATTACTTTGTCAGACCCTTCCCACTTCTTCCTGGTTTTTCACCCAAATACATCATCACAGAAAAGAGCTCTAGGGAAGTATTGTCGCACGTAACCTTTATTCTTTGTTCTCACTCAAGGATTTAGACGCTGACATGATGAAATCTCTCTTTGCATTTCCAACAGTGTTTTTATTTTGTACCCGGAGTGTTTTGGTGCAGGTGCTGAGTGATTATAACTAGGCTCTGGTTTTGTGCGTGTGTGTGTGTGTGTGTGTGTGTGTGTGTGTGTGTGTGTGTGTGTGTGTGTGTGTGTGTGTGTGTGTGTGTGTGGCAGGGTATCTCAGTGTGCTGTAAATAATGTGTATAATGGCTTCACGCTGCAGAATGGCTGCAGTGTAATATTATAACTGAGCTCCATCGCCAGCGGGCCAACATATCAGTGGGAACCATCATTGGCATGGCGCTAAATATTCATGGCTAGCATACTGATAGTTCATTTAACAGAATATATACACCGTGTCCCATGATATGCACACAGTGAGACACAGAGCCGACAGCTATCGACTCACTGAAAAACACACAGAGATAAGCAGTGCATGTAATGAAACATTATGCATATACTGTTATGGCCCGTCTACACAGCAGCGTTAAAAAAATCTTCCAACGCTTCCAACGCTTCTCTCTGCCCATTCACTTTGAATGGGGGTGACGTCACTTTGCCTCGCTTTTCGCCGAACTGCATTGTGGGGAAGCAAAGCGAAGATTTCCAGGATTTTCAGGATTCAAAAGTTGAGCAATGTTCAACTTTTGAAGCTGAGCTGGAAGCGTCAGCCAATCAAATCCCGTTTATGCAAATCTGACAGTACAAGCTCTAGCCAATCAAACCACGTGTATGCTGGGAGAGACATAGCGCAGTTCATTTCCTCATATTCCAAACGAGAAATTACGGTAGCAAATCACCCGGTTCTTTACGAACATTGGCAGATGGTTCTTGGAACACAGGCTTTGTCTGCTCATTAGATAAGCAGGAAGCCAGCAGGAGTCTTGCATACTCTCCCTACCTCACTGTATCCCTCTTTAACACAAATATATACACACATACAATATGCTGGCAGTGATGTATACATAGAAAAAAAAAAGACTAGCGCACATACAAAGGCACCTTTAAAATACCATGTTACAATTTGGAGAACAAAGTGTTTTTTTCACCAATTCCAATTCCATTGTATTCCCTGGCAACTTGAAAAACACTTTCACATTGGTATTCAATTCATACGTTTTCTTCCTTCCTCCAAAATACACCCATCAAATGTTTCCCTGGTGGAGCCATGATCACGCCGCAGAGTTCAAAGAGTCTGCAGGGCTTAATCCCCTTTAATACTTGTGTTGGGGTACTAGAGCTGAGGTTGTGCCGTTGCTGCTGCGTGGGGGCAAAATGTAAAGTGTAATGTGCAATAATCCTACACACTGCCATCAGCAAAGCAGGGAGGAGAAAAGGGGATTGCGATGAAAATTGCCGTCAATGATAGCTAATCCCCTCCGCAGGTGAGCATGCCACTATTCAAAGTGTGCCCTGGTTATTATTGGAAGGAAGGTGGGATATATACAGTACACAAAGGACATGCAGTAAACAGATTATCTGTACAGGACATTTCATTATATACAGTGTGACAGTTGTTCCAATAAATCAAGTGGGGATTTAAAGCAGAAACAATTGTTTCTCCGTCCCGCGGGCCCACCACCTACGGGAAACATCGATGGGGTCGGGTGCGCTGCCAGAAGGGTGGCAGTGAAAGCGGAGGGTCTCGACGGACCAGACCCGGGCGACAGAAGCTGGCTTTGGGGACGTGGAACGTCACCTCTCTGGGGGGGAAGGAGCCGGAGCTTGTGCAGGAGGTGGAGCGTTACCAGTTGGATCTGGTTGGGCTCACCTCTACGCACAGCGTTGGCTCTGGAACCTTACTTCTGGATAGGGGTTGGACTCTATTCTTCTCCGGAGTTGCTCAAGGTGTGAGGCGCCGGGCGGGTGTGGGGATACTCACAAGTCCCCGGTTAGGTGCTTCGTTGTTGGAGTTTACCTCAGTGGACGAGAGGGTCGCCTCCCTACGCCTGCGGGTTATGGGGGGGAAAACTCTGACTGTTGTGTGTGCTTATGCACCCAACAGCAGTTCAGAGTATACGGCCTTCTTGGAGACCCTGGAAAGAGTCCTGTATGGGGCTCCTGAAGGGGACTCTTTAATCTTGCTGGGAGACTTCAACGCAAGAAGGGAAGCCTCTGGATAGACCTGGTAAGCCCAAACGTGTAGTGCGGGTGAACTGGGAACGTCTGGAGGAGGCCCAAGTTCAGGAGGCCTTCAACTCACACCTCCGGCGGAGCTTTTCGGGCATTCCTGTGGAGGTTGGGGACATTGAACCAGAGTGGTCGGTGTTCAAAGCCTCTATTGCCGAAGCCGCGGCGGGGAGCTGTGGTCTCAAGGTCCTAGGTGCCTCAAGGGGCGGTAACCCTCGAACCTCCTGGTGGACACCGGTGGTCAGGGAAGCCGTCCGACTGAAGAAGGAGGCCTTCAGGGATTTGTTATCCCGGGGGACTCCCGAGGCAGTTGCAAGGTACCGACAGGCCCGAAGGGCAGCAGCCTCATCCGTGGCCGAGGCAAAGCAGCGGGTGTGGGAGAAGTTCGGAGAAGACATGGAGAAGGACTTTCGGGCGTCATCAAAGTTGTTCTGGAAAACTGTCCGACACCTCAGGAGGGGGAAGCAGGGAACCATCCAAGCTGTGTACAGTAAGGATGGGACGTTGTTGACCTCAACTGATGGAGTGTTAGGGCGTTGGAAGGAACACTTTGAGGAACTCCTGAACCCGACAACTCCGCCCTCTATGTTAGAGGCAGAGCTGGAGTATGACGGGGGATCAACACCAATCTCCCGGGGGGAGGTCACTGAGGTCGTCAAACAACTCCACAGTGGCAAAGCCCCGGGGGTGGATGAGATCCGCCCGGAAATGCTGAAGGCTCTGGGTGTTGAGGGACTGTCATGGTTGACACGTCTCATCAACGTTGCGTGGAAGTCGGAAACAGTACCGAAGGAGTGGCAGACCGGGGTGGTGGTTCCCCTTTTTAAAAAGGGGGATCAGAGGGTGTGTGCCAATTACAGAGGCATCACACTACTCAGCCTCCCCGGGAAAGTTTACTCTAAGGTACTCGAAAGGAGGGTCAGGCCGATTGTCGAACCTCAGATTGAGGAGGAACAATGCGGATTCCGTCCTGGTCGTGGAACGACGGATCAGCTTTTTACTCTCGCAAGGATCCTGGAGGGGGCCTGGGAGTACGCTTATCCGGTCTACATGTGTTTTGTAGACTTGAAGAAGGCGTATGACCGAGTTCCCAGGGAGTTACTGTGGGAGGTGCTGCGGGAGTATGGGGTGAGGGGGTCTCTACTCAGGGCCATCCAATCTCTGTACTCCCAAAGCGAGAGCTGTGTCCGGGTCCTCGGCAGTAAGTCGGACCCATTTCCGGTGAGGGTTGGCCGCCGGGGCTGCGCTTTGTCACCAATCCTGTTTGTAATATACATGGATCGGATTTCGAGGCTTATTCATGGGGGAGGGGGTCTGCAGTTCGGTGGACTAAGGATTGCACCACTGCTTTTTGCAGATGATGTGGTTCTAATGGCTTCATCGGTCTGCGACCTTCAGCACTCACTGGATCGGTTCGCAACCGAGTGTGACGCGGCTGGGATGAGGATCAGCACCTCCAAATCTGAGGCCATGGTTCTCAGCAGGAAACCGATGGACTGTCCACTTCAAGTAGGGAATGAGTCCTTACCCCAAGTGAAGGAGTTCAAGTATCTCGGGGTCTTGTTCTCGAGTGAGGGAATAATGGAGCGTGAGATGGGCCGGAGAATCGGAGCAGCGGGAGCGGTACTGCAGTCGCTTTACCGCACCGTTGTGACGAAAAGGGAGCTGAGCCAGAAGGCAAAGCTCTCTGTCTACCGGGCCATTTTCGTTCCTACCCTCACCTATGGTCATGAAGGATGGGTCATGACCGAAATAACGAGATCGCGGATACAAGCGGCCGAGATGGGTTTTCTCCGCAGGGTGGCTGGTGTCTCCCTTAGGGATAAGGTGAGAAGTTCGGTCATCAGGGAGGGACTCGGAGTTGAGCCGCTCCTCCTTCGCGTCGAAAGGAGCCAGTTGAGGTGGTTCAGGCACCTAGTTAGGATGCCACCTGGGCGCCTCCCTAGGGAGGTGTTCCAGGCACGTCCAGCTGGGAGGAGACCAAGGGGTAGACCTAGGACCAGGTGGAGGGATTATATCTCTTCTCTGGCCTGGGAGCGCCTTGGGATCCCCCAGTCAGAGCTGGTTGATGTCGCCAGGGAAAATAAAGTTTGGGCCTCTCTGCTGGAACTGCTACCCCCGCGACCCGACCACGGATAAGCGGGAGAAGATGGATGGATGGACAATTGTTTCAGTCAATAACTTTGGTCCTTTTTCAAGCAAGAATGACATAAATTCACTGCTTTCTGCTTCTCATAAATTCACTGCTTTCTGCTTCTCATATCTGAATATTTTCTTATTGTTAGTCTGCTATGATATCACTTATAATATATTTTGGTGTTTAGCTATTGGTCTGCCCAAACAAGCTATTTGAAGATGTCACATCGACCTTTTCACAATTTGTCGTCAATATTGAATGGGAAAAATAATCAGCAGATGAATGACAAAATGGCAGCCCTACTCAGATTTAAGAAGTATCCAGTTATGAAAAAGTCGATGTTTAGTTTTCAAATGATAATATGATATATTTGTTCTCAACATTGTGATGCATTATTAAGAATAAAGACCACCTATTTTGCTGTAACTTCTTATGTACTTCTGATATAAGCCATCAATTAAAAGCATGTGTGTGTGTTCATGCATATCTGCCTACATGTACACAGTATGTTGTGGGTGGGGGGCCTTACCTTGGCCGGGGTCTCCCTGGCACTTTCTGAGTCTGACCAGCGGTGTTTGAGCTGGGAGGAGCTGGGCACACACTCACAGAAATTCTGCATGGGACAAACAGACAGGGCCACTAGTGTTGGCGTTTGTTCAAGTCACATGTGCAATAAAGCATGCAAGCACATGCGCACAAACACACACAAACACACACACACATGCATGCAAATACAAATTAAAACAAAGGGTTCGAAATTGTAGGAAGAGAACATTTTCTAAGCCAAAAGCCTCAAATCTCTCAAAGTATTGTTGAGAGATAAATGGTGCTGGCACTGATAACCTTCAACCACCCACACATATAACCCGCGCACTGACATAAACAGATCTGAACCCTGTACATCTCAAAGGTACCATTGAATAGTATTTACAGGCTCAATGCCTTTTAGTAGAGATATAGTTTTCTGTATACAAAGTTTCCTTGGATGCCAAATGCAAAAGAAACAGAAATCAAGTAATAATGACAGTTCCATTGGATGAGTGTGCATATGATATTGTTTGTGGGTGTTTTATACGATATCTGAACATTACATGCTTCATTATATGTGCCTCTTGCGCTCGTATTCGTCTGGGAGTAGTTCGAGCTGCTGCACAGATACAAAGCGGAGTAATTATGAAAGTGAGGGGCTTTCTAACGGCTCCGGGAGGGCACGCAGTTCCGTGACCGTAAAGCTCGCTGCTCCCACTGTGGAATTGCTCAATTAGCCTGGGACAATCACACCGACACACACGTGGGCACACAGATGCCTACTTAAGAATGGAAGCGGCAAAATATTAGCAATTAATGTATCAAAATGTGTTCTCCATCCAAGCATTGTGTTATAAGCCTGTGTATGTGAGTATGAATGTGTGTGACAAACTAAATGTGCTTTTGTACAGTTGCTATGAGACTGCATGTTTCAAAACTAACAACAGGAGCTGAAGAATGTTAAAATAAATCAATTTGGAGGATACTAACACTGGTTTGGTTAACAAGTTAGCAAACAATTGCCTACTTTCACATCCAATAAACATAAAGAAACTTTATTTAGTATTGACAGTAATATTACTCTAAAAGAAATCTGGCTTTTTTGTTCAATTTGCTCAACTTTCTTCAGTTAGCCAATTTTTTTCTGACTACCGATTTTTGCTAACAGGTTGTGCAATGACTTTATTAGAGCTTTTCTTATGTGGAAACAACTGCCTAGGGGGTTTTAATGAGAGCAGCTCAAACTCTGCTACATAATAATTGTGTGCAACTTAACAAAATAATACATTAAAGAGGCTTACAAGCTCTTTGGTTAATAATTCCCTGATTAAAAGTGTCAGATTTCACAGAGTCATATGAGTGGATGCTAATCTTACATATATTTGTGTGCACATGCTTGCAGTTGTGTAGCAGTTTGTGCATGATTTGGCACTTGTCACTGGGTGTGAATCGCCGTATAGACATTGTTATGATGGCTGACCAATAATTCACCCCTTTGCTCTGAGCGTTCTCTTCCAAAGTGTACGACAGCAGGAGGAGGGAAAAAAAGAAGGCAGCGATAGAGGAGGAAGTGAACGGGGGGGAATGAGAATGGGAGATGGAGGGAGATTTGGGAGAGGTGTGCTGAATTCTAATGAGCAGCCTTAGGGTCAGCGATATAGAAATCTGCTCTGCCTTAAACATTGCAGGTGTCTGCGCCTGCCGTACACAGAGGAGCTACACAGCTACTAACAAACAGACTCCACTCTGATAAACAAACTGAGTCAGTTACACATTCAAGTAAATTGCAATATATGAAACTGTTAAAAACCAACAAATAGGTGCAGGAATGGAATGAGGTTGCCAAGAGGTAAACTCCTGGCAGGCCAATCGATAGAAAGACATGCACGAGAGTATGAACACGTGCACTAAGAGCAAAGGTTGCGTGTCACAGCTGCAGTCAACCCTGACACAGCCTTCCCATTCAACAGCAGTATCAGAGCTTTAGTGTGTTGTCCCCCGGCCTGCTAATGCTCACATTAGTTTTACTTTAGTGACACACACACACACACACACACACACACACACACACACACACACACACACAGACACACAGACACACACACACACACACACACACACACACACTGACAGGGCAATGTCTGCAGGGCTTCTGGTTGGCAGCGGTCCCAGTGTGGGCATGACTGCTTGGCACTGTTTGTCTTGCCCTAATCTGACTCCACAAGCTCCACCAGCAGAGAGGATTTGCACTTAATAGAATATTTGGGCATTTTATTAGTTGGACCTTGCATTTAGAATCCGATGTGATGGGTTCACGTCTAAGAAGACAGGAAGATTGCACTCTTGTAGGATGCGTTTGCCTATGTGTTTGCAGGAATCCCAGCAAATATCTAATCAAATTGGTTGTTCTCAGTATTTACTTGCTCACGTATACCTTTGTGTGTGTGTGTGTGTGTGTGTGTGTGTGTGTGTGTGTGTGTGTGTGTGTGTGTGTGTGTGTGTGTGTGTGTGTGTGTGTGTGTGTGTGTGTGTGTGTGTGTGTGTGTGACAGGGATTTTAGCAAGGTGTGTTCATACCTCGCTGTTCAGTAAGCCGTTGCATTGGAAGATGCTTTGCATATATTCACTTGTGGGCTTACTAATCATTTAACTTGACTTGCAGACTGCCAAGTGAATGTCATGTCTCTGAAGATAATTGTGAACGTTTATTCTTTAAATTAGTTGTGTCCCTTTGTCCTGTGCCTTCCTGTTTTATTTTGAAAAGTAATTCTCCCTCTCGTTTCAGGTCTCCATGCTCCCCACCCCTCTGTGTCTCCTGCGTTCGTGATTGTTGACCCCGCCCTGATAGTTTCCACCTGTGTCCCTCACCTTGTGTATATATTGTTTTAGTCCCCACCTGTCCAGTGCCAGTTCGCTTTCTTTCATGACCACATTCAAGCCTGCTCCATGTTCGTATTCCGTTTTCAAGCTCCTGACGATAGCAATTACTTTTTCCTCGAAAGAGTGATTTTGTGTTTCCTGTTTTTGTTACTGTGTTAAGTCCAGTAAAGTCTTTATTTTTGAAAACCACCTGAGTCTGAGTTGTGCATTTGAGTTCGTTCACCCCTCGACAGTGAAGGGACGAAGACTGAGAAGAAAATAGAAGTACAGTAAAAAGAGGCAAAGCAGGAAGCAGAATACATTGTACTGTGTTCTCAGTTCAACACTGGTACATATAGAAGAGTATCTTGCTCAGTGTGTATTTTCTGAAAATGTTGCTATGCATTCTCTAATCCAGTGGTTCTCAAACTTTTTTCAATAATGTACCCCCTTTGAAAAAAATATTCCGCGAAGTACCCCCTGATCAGCGCAAAAACAATTTGTTAGGGACAAAAAGCCTATAAAGAGGTACAGTGCAGCGCTGCACCATCAGTGTCTGATTTATTAAAACAACAACAGTAACTGAGAAACACTTAAATGCTACATTTCAAATGTTTACAATCCATCACTAAATTCATGGCAAACCAATTTTAACATCATGCAATAACACTGAGACGACATTAGTTGCATTGAACTGATCTTTTTAATAAGTTGTACTTACAATGTAGTGAGAAACATGTGGTTGTGCTTCACTGAGGACCTTTGTCATTCTGACAGGGAGGCAATCTGCAGTTATTACACTTCACGTTTTGAAATATGTGTAACACTGTTCATATAAAACCCACACTGCTCAAACTTCGTTACTTTTCCTAAAATGTGTATATTTATTTATTTTTGGGGCGTGGGGAATGACGAGAAAAAAATATATGAGCATTTTATGAGCATGGGATTTTGACCCCTCACATAAACATATGCATAATGCTGAGCTATATTTTGCGGCCACACGCCGTTGCCAAGCAACGCTTATTGTTTAGGTCCTTTGATAAGCAGGCAGTCATATCATTAGCTAGAACTAGCTAGATCTGATAGATTTGGACAAAAACGTGAGTGAAGTATAACCGGACGCGAGAGAGATCAGATCAGCTGCTGCTGACGGAGAACACGCAGCTCTTCCGGATCACAGCTCCGCCGCTGTGACGGACCGGTGAGCGGACCAAAATACACTAAGAGTTAGACCTAACACACTTAGCTAGTAAATCTACTCTGGAACAAGCTAAACTAGTTATACATATATTTATTCTTTACTGTCGGGTCACTCATTACAGGTTCAGCGAGCTGCACGACGGGCTGTCAGGAGAGGGGGAGGAAAAGAGAGCACCCCGTTTATTTTTCCCATTTTATTATCCAGAATTACTGTTACCTTTGAATAAAGTAGTTAATCTACTATTAGTAGGCTAGTTTGTTTAAATGCATTAATTATGTTTTGTTTTCCCATTAACATAAACTAAATCTCACCTACCCCCTGCAGTACTCCAAGGTACCCCTAGGGGTCCGCGTACCCCCATTTGAGAACCACTGCTCTAATCCACTAAGAAAGAGAAGGGTTAACAGCAAATGGATGAATTAATAGAACTGCATAATCTTGAACATATTCCAACTGTCATAAGAAATAAAGAAGCCATTCAGATAAATGAGGGAGGATCTTCAAATTCACAACAAGTCACAAGAATGAGGCGTCATATTACCATGACTCTGCATAAAGATTACTCATCACAAACACGAGGTGCTTTTTATATCCTTGGTTAACTCCGATTTAAAACTACATTGCAAAAGGATTTCTTTCGAAGTGACTGTTCATTTAAGTTGAGAGATAAGAAAATGATTTGAGGATTTCTATGTCTTACATTATTCATGACCTAATGAACTACTTTAATGATCTCATAAATCCTAAATTAATGACGCATTCCCAATAAAAAGTCTTGCCTACTTGTAAGTGGATTAAGATGTTGTGCTATTTCACTTGAGGGGGCCACGAAGATAGTACTTCTATATAATCTGAAGTGTATGTACTTAGGAAATAATTAGTTATTGGTTATGTGTTATTTAGCAGCTGATAGTTTATCTGGAATGAGATTTGGATATTTAAAAACTAGATCTAAAAACTCATTAGATCGTGGATCATTGACATAAGTCTCAAATTACTTTCCATTATCATTAGCAAAAACAT